CGGGACCGAATTGGGTCGGAGATGAAGAAGAGAAAGCTCCAAGTAGACAAAAACAAACACACAAGCTCGCGCAAGGCGAGATTATTGCACAACAATACTTAGCATAAAAATAAACACAAACCTAAGTTGGGTTGCCTCCCAATATGCGCTACTTTTACGTCATAAGCTAGACGGTTGTTCTTCAAGTCTCGATCCATGCTAGCACCTCCTTGTAATTGAGGTTCCCATCTTGTAGGCGGGGCCTCAAGTCATGAGCACACGGAATGGAAATTGACGACGCGTCATGAACTTTAGTGGTTTGAAGCCTCCACCCTTGAGACCTCTCCTTCTCTTTTTCTCCTTTCGCTTTGCCCCAAACCGGATAAAACACCATCAACTTTCCACCACCGCATCTATCAAAGAAGAATGATGATGGCACGGCTTTGGTCGGGAAAAGAGTGATCGCAAAAGAATCCTTGCTAAGTAACTCTTCGAAGTTCAATGGAGATTTTTCGAAAATCACATGGCCGATGTAAGCCTCTTCCACTGAAACTTCCTCCTTAGCGCAAAGGACAATTGCTTCATCCAACCTCTTCTCTTCTTCATATTCCACCTCTTTTGGGTCATCAAGAAATTCTTCTTCGTAAGCTTCTAACTCCTCCACAACTACTTCTTTCCTTATCTTTCCTCACTCTTCCGCTAGCAAGTGTTGAATAGTGAGTCTCCAAGCCATGTCTTCGATTGGCTCGGCCCGCATCTCCTCATTGAGATCCTCCTCTTTAACGCTTGGGATGAAATGTGGAAGAGTGGTGGCTACCTCAAGAGGACATTTCAAGCCTTGAGAATCACGATGGCCATCCGTGACAACTTCCGACCATTCCAATTCATCCTCGAGGCTTTCCTCTTCATCTTCCTTTTCTTCACCAACCGCCAAGAGTCGGTCTTGGGTGAACCGTGCACAAGCTTCCTCGACCATCGAGTTTAGCTTCTCATTGCACTTGCATATCTCCTCTGCTTCATAGAAGAAATCCGAGTGAGGTGGATCCATGGTTGGAAAGGCCGGTTCGGGATATGATCTCTACTTATCCAATACGAAATTTTCCACCAATAGCTCCAATTGGCTCTTCCCTTCTTGTTGTGGAGGGTAACCTTCATAGTATGGATAGAACTCTTGAACATACAGGGGATATGGTTGCTCATCATGGAAAGGTAGTTGGTAGTCGACCCCGGATCTGTACTCATCTCCTTCTTGAGAGCCTCATGTCGGCTCGGGGTAACACCATTCGGGTGTTGGTGGATACATGGCTCAACTCTGCATCACACAAAGATAAAACACAAAAACAAAGCACAAGACAAGAAAAAGACAAAAAATGCTAAAGTAACACTAAACGACCTTTTCAAAATAATGGACCACAGTTCCCCGGCAATGGCGACAAAAACTTGATTCGCACGAAACAATACCGCGAATAATCCCAACTAGAACTCAAGTTTTTAAACTCTAACAGGGTGCAGTATAGGCAAAGTATTTAGAATGTCGACCTAGGTCGGTCCATGAACCCCTACTTCAATTGCTTAGGTTGTTATCTAGCAAACTGTTTTTGGGTTTAAATCTAAGAGCTAAGAAAACTACAAGTTAAGCAAACAAGCAAGGAAAGTAGATCAAGGAGAATTCTATACGAGAGGACTTCACTTGGGTATTGCTTCCCCTATTCTTGTATTAAGAAATCATGAACGAAACTCTATTGAGAAGGATGTGTTCCTATACCGTGATGTGGGTGCATCTAGCTAGGGGTGAACTCTCCTAGTCGATTGATTAAGGGTTGTGACACAAAGCTAGGGAATCTAGCTCTCTTAATCGATCAACCGAGGAAACCCTTACTCCCTTAGTTGACCAATTTAGGATTGTTGCATTAAATTAGCTGTCTAACTCGCTTAACCTTTCGATTGAGGATTGCAAATCTAGGCTAGACGATCTAGCCCCTCTAAATCGGTTGACTAAGGATTGCAAACCAATCCCTCAGAACTTAATCTGCACGGCGGAGAGAGCAATCACATGGGAATCAAGGTGCTACTCCTATATTTGAGGTTTTGGCTCTAGATTAGCATAGAAAGGGTTACCCGAGTGGGTAGGAGGTCAAACTAAAACCTAACTCAAGCCCCCTCTCTCCCTCATCTCAAAGCCTTTTTATACCCAGATCGAGCCCATTTCATGCCCGGGGAAGCCAGTTCACGGTAATAGACCGTGAACTGATCTCTTGCCAGTAACCTGTGGATCCATTTTGGAAATTGCCAATGTCACGCCCAAAGGGGATTTGTCGCGGTCATAAGACCGTGACATTGGACCTTTACCCATGAAAATTCATTCTCAAGCCTAGTGATCACTTGTCAAGGTCTGTTGACCATGATAATAGACCCCTGCCCTTGATATTGGATTGTTCTTCACTGTACTTCAATTTTTGGCGCTTTATCGACTCCAATCGTCCTGAAACTCGTCCTCGACCTACCCACACGTACTAGGACGTCAAATATGACAAAACAAGCACAACCTAGCGTGAAATATGTCGAGGGATGACGAAATGCAAAGTCAAATTATCAAGAAATGAGGGATAAAATGAGTACAATTAGACGCGAATCAGGTGTGAATTCAGTCGACCTCACGTTTTGGTTGCAAATCTAACAACCGTAACAAGAGATCGTGAACTTTGCACTTTTTGGCTTTATAAACGAGCTGAAATCAGATTTTGGGATGAATATTCTAGAGTAAAAAAATGCAGCTGCTAGATAGAGAGTTACGAAGGAGATGTCTAAGTGGATAATTAGAGCTTCAAATCACAATTGGAAGTCAATTCCATCACAAAGGTTGAAGATTAAAGTGCAAGAGCAAGAACTCACTCCTCTATGATGTTTCCTTCTCTTGATTTGGTGTATTTCTTTCTCTATTACTATTAGCTAAACTTTTCTGTCACTTGGGTGTTGTGGAATTCCAGTTGTATGTGTTAAATTAGATGAATGATTGATTTCCATATTTGATTGACTCTTTATTATATATAGATTTGAGATATTTCATGAATTGTGTTGGATATTGATTAAATCCTTCCAATTATAGCTATTAACCTAAAGTAGAGAATATTCAATTAGGTTTATTAGAGCACTTACCTCATTCTTCATTGTGGATCGATGGATTGAGCGTGAAATTTGGTTATGATGTCGTATTGGATAGCATTCCAATAATGGGAATTTGTTTGGCACGCCCTAGACATTCTCTTTCGAAATGTGTGGAAATTCTCTCCTCGGATAGTATGTTTTAGGTGAGTTTGGATAACTCGAGAGAGTCCAAACGGGAATAGGATTCCCTGTGTTATAAATCACGAATCGACAAACTTGGAATATCATTCGTCAGTCTATTTTGCAACTAGAGGGAAACAACACCCTAGTGGTTTTCTCACTATAGTTTTTGGCTGAACTTCCTTTGCTTTATTGTGTAGTCGATTAGTTAATTCTAACTTCGATTTACTAGATAACAAGTTATTTCGCGAAGTAATAGTACATTTGACGCTTAGATTGATAATTAAACTTCTCTTCCATTATATTGCATTCGATCGTGGTTGCAGTTGGCCACGGTTGGGATACTAGTATCAATTGGATCGAGTCAAGTTTTTGTCATTATGGGAACACGACAAGTTATTAGAAAAAGTCGACTATTTGTTACTCTTGTTTTGTTTTGTTTTGTTTTGTGTTGTGTTGCGTGTTTTTTTGTTGAGTTATGATACAAGTGTATGGCCCAGACCAACCCGGGAGACTTGAACCCGATCGACCACAACATCAACCGTACCTTGAGCCATCTTGCAAGGGAGAGAGAACTAGTGGAAGCTCGAGAGAGGTTAACCATCTATAACCCTCTGGAGCAAGATGAAGGAGAAGTTGAAGCCATGGTGGGAGAGAATCAAGTTCACAATCAAGTGAATAATCAAGAGTACAATCTAAAGGAATCGAAAAGGACAATAGGATACTATTTCACTCCATGGTTCGAAGACATCCAGCCGAGCATCCGATATCCTCCCATTGCTGCCCACAACTTTGAAATCAAGAGAAGCTTAATCTCCATGATCCAAAATAATATTCAGTTCTCTAGTCTCAATCATAAGGCTCCAAGAGATAACATCAGCCGGTTCTTGGAACTCACGGACATGATTCAGCTGAACGGTGTTCATCAAGAGGCTCTTCGTCTAAAGTTGTTTCTATATTCATTGAGTGTAAGAGCAAGGTTATGGCTCAACAACCAAGCTCCCCTATCCATCATATCTTGGGTGGACCTTATGTGGAAGTTCATGGCAAGGTACTTTCACCATCAAAGACCGCCAAAATTGGACGAGCTATCACACACTTTGCTCAAAAAGATGATGTGACACCCCAGACACTTGGGAATATTTTACAATTTGATTCAACGGATTTAGAACCAGTAAAGATTGATGATGTTACTCTATCTATTTTGGCTATTGCATATCAAACCCCAATCAATCAACCTTACGGTTTATGTGATTGCCATTTCCACATTAGGGTTCTACCAATTCCCTTTCTCTGTGAGGTCTTACCATGATGCTTTCTTTGGTTACGTTGGTTCATGTAGTTACAAAAGTGAGAGAAAATTAGAGAAGTGGGGGAAAGAGGGTAGAAGTGTCTTTACAAAAGTGAGAGAGAACTAGAGAAGATGGAGAAAGAGGTCACAAAGTGTCTATTGCACAAATGTCCCGTCCAAATAACAAGCCAAGAAAAGACAATTTGGGGAAAATGGGATAAATTGCAAGGTTGGTCACTGAGATTACTAAAAAGATTCACATTTGGTCACTACAAATATTTAATTTCATTCTTTCTCACTAAGATTAGTTAAACATTTCAAGTTTGGTCACTCTTCGTTACCTTTCATTAATCTCCGTTAACGGCATCAGTTTTTGCTGACGTGGCTAACAGAAAAGTCTAATCACCCAAATTTAACCTAAAAATTAATAAACCCGACTCACCACGTCATATAACTTGCTATGTCATAATATTCAACCCAACCCATTACCCAAACTCAACCCTGACCCGTCATCAACAATCAAACCCACTCTGGTTCCTCTTGCTCCGCCACGACCCTAATCTCCCCCTTCTTCATCCTCCGCCTCTTTCAAACCTTAGTTCTCAAAGATTCCCTTCCTTGCCTCCCGCGGTAGCCGCAACCGTCGATTCCGCCAACTCACCGTCGATAAGTCTCTGTTGGGGAAAAGGTCGGTAGAGAGTATGCAGCCGGCGATTACGGAGGTCTGGATCTAACTAGGGAATCTGAAGAATCTCGGGGGTTGGAGACCCCACCATCGGCCACTCCACCTCCCACATATTCTACATCGACTTCCATCGTCACCCACTCGACGTCCCTTCCTCCGCTTCATACCTTATCTCAATCCCCATCAGATACCACCGCATAGCCGTGTGCCGTGAGTGGAAAGATCACTTCTCTGTCTTGGGCGTAACTCAAGGAAGAAAATTAGAGAAATGAAGGTTCTCTTCACTTTGATTTGTAGATATTTTCATGATGTTGGGTGGATGGTCAAGGATCTCTCTCTGTCTTTGGCGGTCAAGGAATTGGGTTTTGATGGGGTCGGGGTGGGTGGTGATAATTGCTCATGGCGGAAAGGATTTAAGGAGGGACAAGGAAGCAGGGGAGAGATGATTGGTAGAAGGAAGCATGGAAGGGATGATTGGTCATGGTAGAGAGTATCTACAGGGGAGAAGAAAGCAAAAAGAGGGATGATTGGGTAATCTGTAATCCGTCCACCTGGAATCCCTCCCTCACTCTGATTTTTTTGGCTCGCTGTATTCTCCGACGGTGCAGCGACAAGATGATGGTAGCGACAGGAAAGGGGCTTGGTGAAAGAATGCTAATGGTCGACGGAGCAACTTTCTTCACCGAAAGGACTTTGGTTGGCAGGGGAGACAGATGTGGGTCGGGAGGTGTATGGAAGTGAGTTGGGCAGGTTGTGGGTTTTAATTGGGTTGGAGTTTCTTGTGATGTGGCAGGTTTTGTGACGTGGTGGTTTCATTTTATTTTATGTTATTGTTAAAAATTGGTGAATTAGCATTTTTGTTACCCACATCAGTAAAAAAAAAACTGATGCCATCAACGGAGACTAAAGGAAAGTATACAATTCCAAAAAATATTAATCATAAAAAAAAGAGAGGAGCTCTCTCCTCTCTCTTCGGTCTTTGCTTCGTAGTCGGTCGTCTGCTACTCAATGCGTTGGTGGCATTATTCAACGCAAATTTGATGAATTAGCAAACAGACTGGAAACATGGACCGCGTTTGGCGTTCAGAAGCGTACTCACGAACATGGACCGAGGCGGTAAACGTGTCCTTCCCGAGTAAGAACATAAGCACCCCGATCACTGGGGTGGACACAGAAAGCATAAAAACATCAATTTCAATTTTGTTTCGGTTGCACAAATGGGGTTTTCTGCCTGCCTTCATCATCACAAATGGAGATTGAATACCCTAATATTACTCTCAACTCAACCGCTGTGGTAATGAATCCCACATGAGAAACCATGTCTACTGAAAATGAGTTCTTCGTTTGGGCAAAGACACTCCCACCTATGCAGAAATCGTCCCAACTAACACTGGCTACTCAATGGCCGACGATGACGACTGCTAACCTGACCAAGCTGGGAACATTCTGATCCGTCGCCAGCGACTTTCCTTATCTACGCTGTCTAGGGAAAAAGTGGACGGTTGGACGATTATTTACTCCGGATTTTATTCCCCGATTTGTGGGGATTCGGGTGATACCTATCCACCGTAACTACCAACAATTTAAAATTCAAAATTTGTCTCCTAGTTCCAGGAGAACTCTGCTACCGCGGGAGGCGGCGGTGTCGTTTCCATGTAGGAATGTAGGGGCAACTTCTACCTTTAAATATCTCATCCCCCAACCGCGTATTCTAATTCCCTGCATAAGGAGCGAGGCAATTGTGGTGGACAACGAGATAGTTGCTCCCTTCCTACAACGTGCCAACGGAACATAATCCTCCCCCTTTGGTCTTTTTTGCCTTTTAATCGTTCCCAACTATTTAATTTTTTGTCGGGTTCTTCTTCCCAGTCGCTCGGATCGAACTGTACGTCTCTAACAAGTCGCCCACCGCATCCTCGAATTTATAATAATTGCCTAGCTTTACCTATCTTTTCCTAGCAAACTAAGATGGCTTGCGTCACGGAGGATCAGGTGGTTCAGTTTTTGCTGGAAGAAGTTCAATCAACGCGATTTCGAACTTCTCAAACTTTATTCGGCAGGCTGTTTACGGACAACATAATTACGTCGTTGGAGCTGAGGGATGAGGTGAACACACCCAAGCTAGGAAGGGGTCAGGTTCGAGTCTCGCTGGCTAAACATGGCCTTTTCGAATTTGTGTTGCCGAGTGAAGAGGACTGCTGCCCCAAACAGGACTACGATCGTGGATACCTACCATCACAAGGGGGATTTTCGATGATCTGGCTGTGGCCCCATTCCGAATCCAGCTCTGGGGTGTGAAAGAGGACTGGTGCACCAAACAGTTTGGCCAGAAAATTATCGCTACTGCCATTGGGAAAGTCTTGGAAGTAGGTGTTTTCGCCCGCAAGAAGACTTCAGAGTACTTTGTGAAAGTCCAAGCTCTTATTGATTTTACTAAACCATTGAGATCCCAGCTAATGGCCACGAGAGAGGAGATGGGATGCTTCTCGGTCAATCTTAAATATGAATACCTGCTTAGCTTTTGCTTCCACTATGGCCGTGTAGGACATTTGCAGCGTGAGTGTTCCTATGACCCGCCAACTAGAAATGAAAGATTTGGACCTCACATGTCCAAGAAAAAGTTGGGGAGAAAAATTTATGATCAAGAAGAGATTACTCCACCATTTGTGGGAGCTAGAAAAATCGTGTGGGTGAATAAGGAGGTTCGAGAAAACTTTGATGAATCAAGAAGGGCGGATCGGGGACGTGGAAACGTGATTCTGGATGAGCAAAAAATGGAGCAACAGTTGCCGAATAGGAAGCTTAGGGGGGAATCCTCCAACCGGGCTTATGGTGGTGAGAGGGTGACCATGGCCCGAGCGGCCTCACATCAAGCTTCAAGAGGTAGCAGTCCACGTGGATTCAAACGGTTGAAGTCCCTGCGGATCCGCCCGAATCATGGTGTGCGCAAACTACCTGCTAGACAGGGGGGACGTGCTCCGGTGTCTGCAACTGGAAGTGGCCAACTTGAGAATGATGACGATGTGGGGAGAAGGAATGGCAGCTCTCATCGACCGATGGTGGATCCGAAATACCTGGCTGACATGCGTGACACGAAGGAGGCTTCGCGTCGAAGAAGGTTGATCCTCATTGAAGACTCTAATGATGATTTTGAATTCCAGAGACTGGATTCTACTGTTGTGCCTCTGACTACTGATCGAGAACAAGCTCCACTTTCCATGCAGAGAAGTCCATCGACAACCCCTGAGGAAGGAGCTAACGCGGGAGTGCGCGGGCAAGAGCCTAAGCCTCATCAAAGTGAACGCGGTATATCCAAGGCAAAGGATATAAAATTGGTCGCCTCTTCTCGAGGTGATAATGAGAAGGATAACCACACTCATTAGGCGGATAAGGGTTGAGCGGCTCTACTTCGGCGGATTTTCCCTCGTATAACGATGACTAGTCTTTCGAGCTAAAACAACGTACTCCTAAAATGGATGGAGCGAGGGTACGACGCGCTGCGAAGGGACGTGTCCGTCAAGTGGTTGCGGCCTTTGAATCCGGCCTGGTCATTGCTACAAAGGAGGATGACCATGCTACCGCTGAAATTAGGGGTGGGCAACCGGTTCAGTAAACCCGAACCGAACCGAAACTGAATTAATGTTATTCGGTTCGGAATTGGGAAGGAAAATATGGATAGTTCATAAACCAGTTCTTTCCACTGAACCGAATTTCCGAATTTCCGACCGAAAAACCAAAATACTATAATTGCAAGCTCCAAATGGTGGATTTTTATGTTTGTAGTTGTGTTTAGACTTAAATATTTGAAATATTTTATGACTTATGTGTTGAAAAGTTTGATTTTATCATTGATGATGCATATAATTACATATTTATTGTTTATATTAGGGGTGAAAAATAATTTAAAAGTGAAAAAGATACAAGTAGCTTCACAAATTCGGTTTTATGTGAACAACCAAACCGAACCGAATTATAATTGGTTTAAACCGACTGAACCAAATTATAATTCAGTTCGAATTCGGTTTGAGGTTTGAGAGAAGTTGGGGACCAGGTATTCATAATTTCGGTTCGGTCGAAACCGAGCCGATCGAATGCCCACCCCGAGCTGAAATGATGAATCGCGTTATGGGAGAGGGTGAAAGAATATTTTCGGTGATGGACGAATATGGCTCCAACATGTTGGATCCTTCTATTGGGGGTCGAAAATTACCTCTGGACGAGGTTGAGGATGAGATGGGTGATATTCCCATGCCCAAGAAACAATTTGTGGAAGCTTCAGAGACTAATGAGAAGGTGGAGGAAGCCAACCTGGAGTGGCCCCAATCTGATAAATGAGGCTTTTGGTCTGGAATGTGAGAGCAATTTTACCATCTCTCACATTCCAAACAGCTGTCGGTTTAGTTCATTCTAATAAACCGGACCTTGTTTTCTTGTCGGAGACAAGATCGCGCCGGAGCGTCGTTTCCCGTCATATGCGGGGTTTAGGTTTTGATAATTCGCATTGTTTCTTTGTAGATGCTGTTAATGCATCAGGTGGTCTTGTCGTAGCTTGGTCCCCCGAAGTTGAAGCTTTGGTTTTTTTCCATTCCAACTTCTGCATTTGTACTCGGATTAACTAAGGGGATTTTTCCTATGTTGTGGTTTTTGTCTACATTAGTTGCGGTGAAGTAATAAAGAGCTAACCAATTCGCTCAGTTGCGTGAAATTTGTGATAGCTTCGGTCTTCCTTATGTGGTTATGGGAGATTTCAATGTGACTCTCCACGGGAGTGAAAAAGATGGTGGAAATCCATGGAATGCGGCCCAAGCTACTCATCTCCGGAGTTTTATTGATAACCTGGGCCTCCATGACCCTGGGTATCAACTAAACACTTCACGACCCAATTGGTTCAGCTGCGTGAAATTTGTGATGGCTTCGATCTGCCTTATGTGGTTATGGGAGATTTCAATGTGACTCTCCCACAGGAGTGAAAAAGATGGTGGAAATCCATGGAATGCGGCCCAAGCTACTGATCTCCGGAGTTTTATTGATAACCTAGACCTCCATGACCCTGGGTGATCAGTTTACGTGGACAAATAAACGAATGTGATCGTCCTGTATCCGGCAACGTCTAGATAGGGCTCTCTGCTCTCAGACCTGGATTGATCTTTTCACCGATACCCTCGTCAAACACTTCACGGACCAGGGGTTTGATCATCGAGCTTTGCTCTTATAAGATAAACCCTATGTTCGATATAGCCGACCATTATTCCGATTTGATGCCCGGTGGGCGGACAATCCGGAGGTTAAAGCTATGGTGACATATGTTTGGCAGGAAGATATCCCAGGCACGCCAATGTACCAACTCTGGGAGAAACTTAAGAAACTCTGGCATTTGCTCTATGACTGGAGCAGGGCGGGTACTACTAATTCTCTTCGTAATATAAGAACCCTCAAGGCAGAAATTGATCGGATTAAACTAATTTTGTCGATTGATTGGGATGAGGTGAGGGTTTTGGAGACAGAATTGAATAGGCAATGAGAGGCCGAGGAAATCTATTGGCAATAGAAATCGAGGGTCCGCTGGCTCAAGAAGGGTGAAAAGAATACATCGTATTTCCATATGGTGACAAGGGCTCGCCAAAAACATAAATATGTGGCTGGCCTCCGAAATGACGATGGGGAGTTGATAACGGGGGAGGGTGGCAAGGCTGATATTGCCACTAATTTCTATCAAACCCTCTTTACCTCGGAGACCAGGTGTTGAACATGACTGAGCGGGTTGCTAAGCTCCTGATAGATTGTCGAGTTACTGATGCAATGAACACCAATCTTACAGCAGAAGTATTACCTACTGAGGTAAGGAAAACTGTCATTTCCATAGGTTCGAAGCAGGCACTAGGTTTGGATGGTTTCATAGGAAAATTCTTTAAAGTTTTTTGGGAAATATTCGTTGATTCAGAGATTGAGGTGGTATGCTCGTTCTTTTCAACGAGTAGGATGCTTCGTAGCTTCAATCATACTTGGCTGACACTAATCCCGAAAGTGGATAATGTTGAAATCATGCGGCAGCTCCGACCTATTAGCTTATGCCAGTTTGTCTATAAGATTATTACCAAAATTATGGCGGAAAGGTTGGCTAACTTGTTGCCATGTATCATCTCCGAAGGCCAAAATGCTTTTATTCGGGAGAGGCAAATTTTGAAAAATGCCTTGCTAGGGCATGAATTAATGCATTACCTGAAAATCAAATCGCGAGGAAAGAAAGGGTTCAAGTCGCTAAAGGTTGACATGGAAAAGACCTATGATAGAGTTGAATGACCCTTTCTCCTTGTGATTTTGGCTAAGATGGGTTTTAACTCAACCTGGAGAGGCTGGGTGTACGAATGTCTCCGGTCAACTTCTTTTTCGGTCCTTATGAATGGCACTTCAAAGGGGTTATTTACTCTCTCAAAAGGCATTTGACAGGTTGATCCGCTCTCCCCTCTTTTGTTTGTGATTTGCACATAGGGGTTTGCAGCTCTCCTGCGGAAAGCTATTTCAGATGGGAAGCTGGAGGGGCTCAAAGTCGCCCCTCGTTCTTCACGGATCTCACATTTGTTTTTTGCTGATGATTCGTAGTTATTCCTTCGAGGATCTCTACATGAATGTGAGAATTTGATCACAGTGCTAAATGAATATGAGGAACTTAGTGGCCAACGGGTTAAGCTGGCAAAATCAGCGGTTTGCTTTAGCAAGAATATAGTTGTACCAGACCAAGAGTTCCTTGGTTAGATTCTGGGAGTTAGGGTAGTGGGTGTTCACGATAAATACTTGGGATTGCCTACTATGATAGCCCGATCAAAGATGGAGATGTTCCGCTATTTGGAGGAGAAGTTGCTAGCTCGGTTACAGGGGTGGAAGCAGAGGACTCTGTCTTGGGCAGCGAAAGAGACGTTGATAAAATCAGTCGCTCTAGCCTTGCCTTTACATGTTACATCCTGCTTTAAACTTCTTCTCTCGCTCTATCGCCTCTCAGACAAACCCGTTGCTAGGTTCTGGTGGGGCATGGAGAATGGGCATTCGAAAATAAGATAGATGTCCTGGCGGAACATGTGCAGAAGTAAACATGATGGTGGGATGGGGTTTCGTCGCTTCGATCATTTCAATCAGGCTCTCCTAGCCAAGATTAGCTGGCGCATATTGAATGATCCCACCTCTCTCCTTGCCCAAGTGTATAAAGGAAAGTATTTTCCGCAGGGATGCTTCCTTGATGTCATTGTGCATTCCCGCCCGTCTTGGGGTTGGCAAAATATCATGTTCGGTCGGCAATTGTTCGTGCAGGGACTCAGATGGCAAATTGGGAATGGCCAGGCAGCTTCGTTGCGTCATAGAAATTGGGTGCCTCGCCTTCATCCCCTAGCTCCTACGTTTAATCCCCTGATCTTGCCTGAAGATGGTGAGCTTACGGTAGATGAAGTTATTTGCCGGGGGGAAGGTCGTTGGTGTGATTTGAAATTAAGCCAGTGTTTTGACCCACCTATTTGTCGTTCTATTAAAGAGATGCCTCAGCCGAGATATAATGTTGAGGATCCCCTTATTTGGCATTGTACACTTGTCGGATCTTTCATTGTTAAATCGGCTTACCCTTTGACAGTCTTGATGGATAAACGAGTCGGTCGCTGGCGATCATTGTCTAGTTGGATGGATAGGTCCAGTTGGATCCGATTGTGGGCAGCTCCTAATCCCCCTAAAGCTAAAGGTTTTTCTTTGGCAAATCTTCAATCGTCTCCTCCCCACGACGGAGGCTTTGATTGAAAAGAATGTCCAGGTCCATCCCCGGTGTCCGGTTGGCTGGGCGGATTTGGAGACATTGGAGCATTTGTTTCTAGAGTGTCCAGTGGCTAGGGTCCTGTGGGACTATACGAGGCTAGAGTATCTAGGCCAAGGGCTGCCTCGCCAGACTTTCCATTAGTTCCTAAAAAAGTTGATGCTCATCCATCAACCTCAGCTAGTTATGGCGGTCACTGCCGTCCTTTGGAGAATCTGGCGATCGCGTAACTGGGTAGTCTTTGAGGGCAAACAGTTTGCTATCCCACCTTTAATGCGGCAATTTCACCAGCAATATCAGAAATGGGTAAGTTTGCCAATTGATAGGGCTCAGCAGCCTCCTATCCAGCCTATGATGGTTGCCCCAACTTGCCCTATAATTTGTAAGTGGGACGGGGCAACCAAACTTGCGTCTCATTCGGCAAGAGAGATGATTCTCATGAATCAGGTTGGGGAGGTTATCCTACTTAAAGGGGTTCAGTTTGTTGGGGTTGATGATCCTTTGATTGCTGAAATGCTCTCCCTCCGGGAGGCAAATTTCTGGTGTCTGACGTCCGGGTTTACGGAAGTACAATTCAAAGGGGATGCTAAGGTGATTATTGATAAGGTCAATCAATCGGACACCAGGGATAGTCGGATTGGAGCTCTTTTTGAGGAGGTTGTGCGATGCTTAGAAATTCATAGTGGCCCACTGTGCGATTTGTAGGTCGAAGTAGTAATAGGGTAGCCTACTTGGTGACTAAGAATGCCCTTTAATTGTACCCAACTACGAGTCGTTTTATTTGATTTTATGTATATGATTACCTTCTGTAAAAAAAATAAACTTGAAATATTTAGCTAATCCCAGTGACTACGAATGGAATTAAATATTTGTAATGACCAAACATGAATTAATAATCTCAGTCACTCATTTACTAATTGCTCAATCCAAACTACTCATACAACTGTTGCAAAACAACAGATTACCTTATAAAATAAAAACATCTCTTCCTCTACTGCCTTACAAATCGCGAACTCACTTATCTCAGTTTCGCTGTTCCAGAGCCTCCTTGTTCAATTGCTTCTTGTAAAACACCAGTCTACTGTATACGATAGAAAGATTTCTTCCTCTTCTTCCTTCCAAATCGCCAGCATGCTCATCTCAGTTTTGCGCTGTTGCAGAGCCTCCTTGTTCAACAGCAAACGCATATAAAGAAGTTGTTATCAGAATTAGGCAATCAGAGATAACATCATGGTCCCATCATTTTAATTTGTTTCAGATAATAAATAAATAAATAAATAAATAAATAAATAACATCACACACCATTGGGTCTTCCCTCAACAAAGCTCACAGCTACATGCTCGAAGAATTCTTTGGTAGCATCTGCGCATCCACTCATGATAATGAACTCATCAAAGCATCAAACAGTTGTTTAGTAGAAATAGATGTCTGTTCACTTCCATTTTCGTTTTCTATTTTTTGTTTTCATGTCATAAATTTGGCAACCGAAATGAGAAAACTTGATTACTTTTAATTATGTTTTCTATTTATTTCCAACTATGAAAACAGAAAGTGGCAACTTCTGTTTTTGCAAACGAAAAAATGTTGTTTTCACATGTTTTCAACATCTGTTTTCTCGGAAATGAAAGTAAACAGGACTAGGTTACATATCAGGTGAATAGTTCAACCTACTAGTCAACATGATTATCCTTGCAACGTATAGCTTAAAGGAAGGCTTGTCGCGTTAGCCTAGTCAAAGTCACCTAGTCTTGCACTGGAGTTCATATACCCTCAATCTGAAATCCACAAAGAAGAGTATATATATCATACCGTGCTTCATTGTTAGAGAAGGATCTTTCTCATCGACGTATCCTATCACTTTAGCTGGTGTTCCAGCCATCATGCTTCGTACAGCCAGAAATGAGGGAGTAATCAGCATTGCTTATGCCAATTCGGTTAAAGGAATGATTATTACTGTTTTTAGACATCAGAAGGCTCTGTCTGTCCTCACCTGTGTGGGCCGACATCCTTTAATACCAGAGAGCTAGAAGCTATCATAGCCCCTTCACCAATTTTTACGTTACCGAGTATTGTCACACATGCTCCAATCAGTGCACCATCACCAACTTTCGGATGGCGATCTCCAACTTCTTTCCCAGTGCCTCCAAGAGTAACCCCCTGCCGGAAATTCAGGGTGTTGTTGCTTGAGTTCTAGTTGTTGTCAATAAGAAACACGTTCCTTAAAGAGGCTAAAAAAGGCTAACCAGTGACAATTATTGATAGCGAACCCACCACCAAACTGAGAACAAATAAAGATTGGTGTAAACTGGGCCAAAACTACTAACATGCATCATTGTACTAACATAGCAAAAAGGCTAACCAGACAATCATGATATTGCCAGTTATAGAGTGGGTAATAGGCCAGCTTACATGCATTAATGACACTCTGTTGCCAATAACTGCAGTTTCTCCAATAACCACGCCAGTTCCATGATCCAACAAAATGCCGTCTCCAACCTTTGCAGCTGTTTATTGAATAGCATTCGCATTAAAGGGTCTTAAAAGGGAGGAATTTTACAATGCTATATAGTATTGGTGCTATAAGTTTTTCCCTTTATGGTACAACTTGAAGTTGTACTTTTAACGTTATGGTACAACTTCAGATTGTACCTATACTCTTTTGTCAAATTGTTTTATGGTACAACTTAAACTTGTACTTTCATTTGATGGTACAAGTTTAAGTTATAAAGTTGTACCATAACATAAGAGCACAAATTTTTTTATGGTACAACCTGAACTTATACATTTAACGTTATGGTACAACTTTAAGTTGTACATTAAAGTACCAATACTTTATAGCATAGTAGAAGTGCTCCTTAAAAGGGGGCCAGAAAAATGCTAGGCGTCTTGTGCTTATTGACGGACATCATCTAAAAGTACTAAACATTGTTAATCTCTGACTTTCATTAACAGCAAAAGCATTGAGCATTGAAAGATGGCGTAGCATATGTTATCACCAAAGCAGAAGTAAGAGTACCTGGATGAATATCAACTCCAAACACCTGGAAGCAAACATAGGCCATGAGGAAACAAACTAAAACCAGAATCCACTATAATGGCTAAGTAATGGAGCTACCTCACTGATTCGACTCTGCAATGCAAGAGCCAACACTTTTCGTCCTTGGTTCCACAGCACGTGAGCAACTCTATACGATTGCAGGGAATGGTAACCCTGTAAGAGGAAAGCAATTCAAGTGACTAGTCACTGTGTGTCTCAATTCCAAACACCTGGCAGTGAAAAGAGCAGGTAGCAAGGACTTCAACGATTCTTGTGAGAGGGAAAGAAAACAAAAAGAACAGATCTACATGCCTCACCCAGATATGTAACAATCGCATGGAACGTACCTTTAGATACAATAGAGCGGTACAATATGAGAGACAAGCAGGATCCCGGTCTTTGAACGCCTAGGATAAGGAAGTAAGAGTTCTAACTTGTAAAACCCATTGATGAAATAAAGCAATTCAATCAATCAGTAGGGATTGCTGGAAAGGAAGTTACCTGAACATCTAGGCGAATCGCACGCTGAATACCTCTATCATGCAATATCACATCCATAAATGTATCCAACAGCTGAGTGGCTAAAAGTGTAGGATTCTGAAGTCGATTGGCAAGAACAAAGGCAAGTGCTTGCTCCAAGCAATCATGTGAAAGTATACTAGCATACAGAAAGCTACTTAAAATTGGTTCCTTATCTGCCTGCAATGTGACAATGGCAACGTCTGCATCAGTAAGAAGCTCAAAAGCACATGATTGAATAACTCCAGAACTCATCCAATTGTTTTCGAAAGGAAGAGCTACAGATCCTTCTATTCACAAAAGAGGAAAGACAGGTCTACAGCACTACCACGTCCCTTATTAAACTAAAAATAAAGTTAAGAAAATCCAAAATTCAACCTCAAACCCTTGTGTAACTCTCCCATTTCACTGGGATCATCTTTAGCAAATCGAATAGTCAATCAACTAACGGATGATGAGTATTGAAAAGGAAAAGGGGGCAAAATGAAACCAAAAAAAAAAAAAAAAACTGATGAAGTTAAGAGAAAACGGTGGTGGACCTCCAGCTTGGCCTCGTCCTTGACGGCCTCCCAAATGTGGTCAAGGGAGTTGGCAAGCGAGTCGGAGTCGGGCCTGGAGAAGCCTCTCGCGTAAACAGGGAAAATCTTCTCAAAGGGATACGAGCCCGAATCAGAAGGGGAAGGAGGGGTAGGGCGATTAAAAGCTTCTCCACCATTCTGGTGTTTTGCGAGGGTGAGGGAGAGCATATTATCTGGAAGAGAAACACAGGCTGCGTCGTCTTCCTCGGCCTTGCTGAAGCGAGTGGCCATGGAGATGGAGATGGAGAGGTTTGGTTTTGTTGTCTATATAGGGGAAGATGGCATTGAATCGGCCGGAGAGGACGGGAAAGGGGAATGGAGGTGCTGGTGCTAGACTGCTAGTGCTGGTGGAAGCAGGGGTACGGAACGGAGACAAGAAGGAAGCAGCAGTCGCACATCGACCGCAGTCCGCAGCAGGCAGCCTCTCTGACCTGACAGACAATTTATGTCCATCGGTCGTGGGATCCGCTTTTGCGATACGGTGGGGTGCATAATTGTTTTGAGTATAAGTACAACTAATAACTATTGTAACACCCTATCGGTGCTACTTTTACCAAAATACTCTTATAATTCAATGAACATTAAATACGTTGAAAGGTAGCGGAAGCGTCATACTAAAGAAAACAGTAGACATAAAAGCCTTGTTATAAGAACCGAATCGGATCAACGGTCGGGCCAGTAGAACCGTCAAACCAGTTACGATAGCGATCCGGTTCATTGTTTGAACGGTTATTGATGGACCAAACGGTTTTTCACGGTTCAACATAAAATCAAATGAACCGACACGGTTTAACTGGTCCATTGGTTCACTATTTTAACTAAAAAAAATATTTTAACATAAACTAAGACCATCAAATCATAATTATTAATTTTATATATGCTTCCTCAACCTTATTGTCGATTTTACATTGTCTACTACCAACTAGAACAGTAATTTTTAATTTGAATTAAAAAATGTGGTTTCTTTTGTGAGATGGTTGGAATGATTTATTAGATATTTTCATGATGATATGAATTTGAACTTGTATATGGTCAATGATAATTTCATTCTTAAATTAGTGTAATATACAAGTCTTATATGTTATATATCATTAACGGTTCTATCAACGGTTCACCAACAGTTTTGTAACGGTTAACCGGTGAACCTTTAAACCACTAACTTTTCCGGTTCAGCCTCCGATCCGGTTATGAAAACAGAGCATAAAAGTCAACATGGTTTGAAACATCCTGACGTAATAAATATCATCGTAAAATCACATCAGGTCTCTCGTCCCACTAAAGTACTGAACTTAACTTCTTACTTCTGGAGTGCACTTGAGCCAATGATGCTGAATCCATATGCGTGCTTATGTGCTTCTACCATTCCTGAATGCGGGCGTTGGGGTCAGTCCTAATCCTATATTCCATTCTTGACATATAATATAAAATCAAACAATATGCATATGAGTGCAAATGCCATGCAATGGCTTAGTACGTTATTAGGGTACATTATTAGGATTTCTTGAAATTATAAGTCCGGGTATCTTGTATCTTTTATCGTGTGACGGGGCCCCTACCTCGACTTAGCTGGCGCCACTACTATTCTTACTTACTTAAACATGGCTACCCTCACAATGGGGAGCATCACATGAGTTTGAACACCGCGGAACGAATCACCATTTGGTGTCAAACTAGAGTATGTCTACCGCGGAACGAATGACCATCCGGTAGCATACGTAAACCTAGGTAATGGAGACCGCGGAACTCATCACCGTCCGGCTCCATACCTGATCCACTACCGCGGAACGAATCACCATCCGGTAGGGATCCCTCTAGATAGTGGCTAGCTAAGCGAGGTTAACTTGTTCTTACTTATTAACTTGTTTTTACTTAGCCTGGTAATTGTACATGCTTGCCATAATTAACCTCTCACACCATGGATAGAGATAATTAAGTCTTATGTACATGTTTACTTGAAGAGCTTGGTGATCTCCCGCACAATGGGAAATTCAACTTAACAACTTTGATTTGGTCATGATTTTCTAATGAGCATGATACTATGCATAGTGAACATAATTCATAAACTTAAGCATGAATCACAAACTTGAACATGTATCTCATAAACACATAACTCAACCATAAATAGCATGTAAGAGCATATCATGTAACGCAAGTAACATGCATCATAAACAATTCAAAATGGAATACTAACTAGCCCCCTCAAACCACGCACCTTATTAGCTTAAGACGGTTGAACTGATTTAGCCACCAACTTAAGGAATCTGTGCTCTTTAGGGGTAAATTGCATTGGTGAACCTATGACGAAAGCCAAGGTTAGATCGGTTGGGCTATTGGGTCCTTAGCGACGGTTCTCAATTTGGGACTACTTTGCAATATGTGCAAAGTATAGGAGCTTGCTAAATTCTTATTTAATTTTTGCTATGATAATTATATCCTTTAATTCAACTTAATTTCATCATACTCAGTCTATCAATTAACCTAGATTAACAATCAACAGATTAAATACTTATAATATTCTTGATGGGTCAAAACTGATAACTTACTCATCAATTACTCATATTAACATAACTCCCTTATACAATTCATTATCATAATAACTTCTAATTTAACTCGTCATAACATCTAACCTATCAAAACTTATATTTTGCTAACTGATAACTTAAATAATCTTAACCTATTAATTTCCTAAGAGAATCATTTAAAGACATCGTTAATCATATTATTGGATCAAACATATAATTAAATCAAACTAACTCATTTTATTAGTTACTAAAATACTTTAACATCCTAATACATCCATTAGTAAGATACCTAGTAAATCATTTACAATTAAATCCAATTGAATTAAAATGTAAACTCTACAACTCATTTAGCTACCGTCGCCGAAACAGTCACTAAAAACTATGAATCTCGTCTCTAAAAGGGATGTCAATGACACTGGTTGGCCAGACTATAGCCACGGCGGCTGTTTTGTTGCTAAAAGCCTGTAATTTCGTCGCTAATTTCCCAGAAAACTATAAACTCGTACAGGCTCAACGTATTCAGTTTCTAATGCGAAGATCGGATTTTACTTACCTCAAATACGTGCCTACACTTAGATCTGGATGGGTAGGACCTTCGTTCCTGACTTGGATCATCATTAGATCCCCATGTCTTTTGCCGACAAAGCTACGTCATGGGAACAACCTTGCTTAGTTAAACATGAAGTTTGAAACTTGAAAACAGTTGGGGATCCATTGATCTTACCTACTGATCTCAAGAGAGAGTGACGGGGGTAGCTACTAGCGGTGTGGTTCTCCCGCAACAACAACGACAATGGCGATGATGAGGAGCTTAGGCAGGCGAAACCTAATATTGATGGGAGGGAGGAAGAAGTTGATGATAATGGAGGCAAGCTTCTGGTGTTGTTGTGAATCAGTAGTGAAGAGAAGTAATGGGAGAGTGGATGCCGGATGGAGGGATCCATAGTAAAACAAGAGTGAGCTAAAGGAATAATTTAAGCCATCCATGCACCGACACCTTGCTCCTCTTCCTATTAACTCTAGCTAGATGTCTCTTATTAATTAAGTTCACAAGTCTGATGTGACGAGGGAATGGGAGTGTACAGGGCTTGTTGGCGGTTGAGTTGGCGAGCTGAAAATTGGCTCTAAAGGGTTCTTTAATTGGTACAATATGTGTGGAGGAAAGGGTAATTACGGAAACTCCAAATTGATGGGGTTTGGGATGTTACAACTATGGCAAAAAAAAAAAAAAAAGTACAACTAATAAATGTGGTCCTTGTTTTTTAGTACGGTAAATTTTAAAAATTAAAAGTGAGATTAGAAGGTTTTATTTTTTATGGTTAAATAAAAATTGTATTAAGCACAGGTAACTTAAGAAAAACTTTGAGCGTCTCTTGACAAGTTTGCAACCATCAGTTTGATCCTTAAAACCCACTCATCCGACCCGCCCCGATTCTCAGGGTTGGGTTGGGCCAATTCGTCTACAGGGTCAGTTTAGGATCGGGTCAGGGTCAGGTAGGGCCGGGTCAATTTAGGGTCGGGTCACTTTTTGACCTTATGACCCTTAGCATCATACAAACACGTTGGACCAATTTGTAAAATTTTAAAAGTTTAGGTACTAAATTGTAAAAATAAAATTTTTTGGATACCATAACATAATTTTACCATCAATTTTTGGGACTTATTTGTAAAAAAATAAAATTTAAGTACTAAAATGTAAGAAAAAATAATTTTGGGTACCAAATTGTAATTTTTAGAAAAGTAGTGTATTTATTAGGGTCGACGCACTGACCCGACCCGACCCTACAAGGTCAGAGAGGGTCATGAAAGAAATAGGGTTGTCAGGGGCGGACCAATTTTCAACCCTAATCATCCCAAATTATTAGCCCCTTTATTGGAGCTAGATTCTGAAAACAACAAGTAACAATGTACTGGATGAACAAGCGGGTACATAACAAATGAGAAATTTTACAATGCTATATAGTATTGGTGCTATAGGTTTTTGCCTTAATGGTACAACTTAAAATTGTACATTTACGTTATGGTACAACTTTAGATTGTACCTATACTTTTTGTACAAATTCTTTTATGGTACAACTTGAACTTGTACCTTTATGTGATGGTACAACTTCAAGTTGTAAAGTTGTACCATAACATAATGGTACAAATTGCTTTATGGTACAACCTAAACTTATACATTTAATGTTATGGTACAACTTTGAGTTGTACATTAAAACACCAGTACTATATAGCATAGTAGAAGTGCTCCATAACAAATAGGATTTTGTTTCAATACCACGCGGACACAACAGACACAGACCAGAGACATGTTTCACCCAAGCTAATAGTTTATCTTGAGTTCGAGGTCTATCATGCAACGCCATCCATAGTATCAACCCATATCGAGGGCTAATCTCCTTACTCCAAGCCAAATGATACAAATCACCTTCTGCATCTCGAATCCTAATCAAATTGCATACCTTCTTAATTGAGTACTTCGACATAAACATCATCATATTTCAAGGACGAGTCATGTTCATTTATAACCGGAAGCATTTTAACACGACATTTCAAGATCATTCTCCAAATCCATGACCCTGCAGTGGCTACATTGAGGTCCCAAATGGATTTCTTCTTTAGCCTAGATTGGGAGTTAGGTTAACGTTAAACTGACTAGAATGCCAAATCGTCATACTCGTTAGCGACAGATCAGCCACATTAGATGATAAG